TAGGCGTATTTATGGAGACAGAATGTAGATTGGGAATTACCAGGGGCTGAAAGGAGTGGGGAATTGAGAGTTATTGCTTAATGGTTACTCAGTTTCTCTTTTGGGAGATGAAAAAGTTTGGAAATAGTATTGATGGCACACTGTGAATGAAATTAATGTCACTAAATTGTGCACTTTCATGTGCACTAAATGGCAACTTTCATGTTACATATATATTTTACCACAAGAAAAAATGTGAAACATGTTGAAAGTGATGGACCATGAAGGCTTAGTTGGGCAAGGAATGAAGGTAAGGCAGGAGGAGGCCTACACAAATGGAAAAAGCAGAATAGATAAGGGACAGGTGTGTCTGACCACAGTCAAATTTAAGTTTAGGATGGGCCATGTACTTTACTAAGGGCTGTGTGGGGTTACAGAGTTACAAAGTAGGTATACATGCTGGCTCCAGATTCAGACTGCAAAGGTTTGAATATCAGCTCTGCTACTAACCAACTCAATGAAGTTGGCCAAATTATTTAACCAATCAGTATCTCCACTTTCTCACATGTTTTAGGAACTAAATGAGTTAATACAAATAAAGCACATAGTATGGTATCTGGCGCATAGTAAGCACTTAATAAATGTATAAATATTAATCATTATTATTAGTATACACAACAAAAAGTTCACACTTTGGAGTTGAGACATTCTCAAAGTCCAAGCTTCCCTCCTCTAAGCTGTCTCTAAACACAAGCTCCAACTTACTAAGACTCCAGGGTATAGTATAAAGACACAAATGCTAAAATACAGTAGTAAATAAAAAAATTTGGAAATGCAGAAGGAGCTATTAATTTCAACATGGAGAGGGGGGATAAATGTGTCATGAAGACTTCAAAATGACCTGGCATTTGAGACATAAAAGCAGGAAACTGCATAAAATAGTCAGGAAACAATAGCCCAGTGAGGCTTGAATGTAGGTCACATGGTGGGATATAATGGGAAAAACGGAAAATGCCAAAGGATACAGAGCTTTGAAAGCCTTGCTAGGGAATTTGGTGATGTTGTATAGATGAATTCCCATTGAAAATTCCTCTTTTAAATTTGACGGTATGGTGTGCTGTAGGAAGATTAGTTAATTACTTCATGGCAGGAAAGATGAGAAATCCACCCTGATATTTACCTACAGAGGCAACATTTTAAGAAAAGTAACATCCAGATCAGCCCTGATACTACATGGTGTTGCCTGAATTATTTTTCTAGAAAAGATGAGATGAGCAACAGGGTTTTGACTTCAAGTACATCCCAGGAAAACTTTGGGAAATGACTGTCTCCCATAACGCCCACCTAAGGAGAGCCCATCAGCTTGTTGCCTTGACACAAATACCTGCATACCTCACAGTCATTTTTCTCTTTAGCTGATTGGAAATTCTGTAGCTATCAATTGATCTTGTGCTCCATAGGCCATTTAAGACCCGGAATATTTCCAAAGGGTCTGCTCCAATTGTATTGTGAAGACCCCAATTCTCAAATTAGTACACACAGCTAGAATTACAAAGGATTAAAAAACAAATTATAAAGAACTTCAAAAAATCATCTAAGTTACAGCTGCACATTGCAAAAACCCTACTTTTTTTCACCCTTAATGAACATATGTGTCCAGTTGCCCTTCATTTTAATTCCTAGATGTATAACAGATAAGTTCAGAACTGACCTTAATAGAAATTAAACTAGGGATAGCTTCTAAAACCAGGAGTACATGACAGACACTCTGTTGAGATTCTTTCAGTTTAGGCCTTCCCCAAAATACATAAATGAGGAGAGAGAGGAAGTTCAAAAGAAAGACTAGTATTTGTACACTGAACCTAATATCTGTATTTCCCAATTCTGGGCAGTAAAGGAAACAGAACAAGAACAGCAAAAGGAGGCAGAGGTGACCCCTGATCCAAATCTATACTCTGGCATTCTATGCCAGCCAGAACCTAGTTTTCATTAAGTATACTCAGGAGGAGCTGAAGCAGTATAGAGAACATGGCTTCAGCTCTATAAACTGTACAAATAAGATAGGATAATGGAATTAGGGAATTAATTCCTTCCTAACTACACATCCCTAAAGGACTTTGGAATCTTGTAGCTATCTCACTGAGCTCAACATTCTGAGCTCTGACCAAAAGGGATCAGAACAAACACATTGCTGCCACCAAGGATAGGTGCAAATTACCAAGTTCAAACCATTGGCCAGCAAACAAAAGTAAGGATGAGAGTAAACCATCACCAAGGCAGGGCAAATGAGACTATCCATGAAGCAGTTTCAGTAGTTGGTCTCCAGGAAGACCCTCCTCTGAGGCCCAGGACTACAGGGGAAGGGACTCTCAGATGAAACAGTAAACCTGGTACCCCTGGATGGGCATACCTGGAGGTTGAGGGCACAGTGGGGCTGGGTCCTTTCAGAAACATACTTCCATGGCTTTTCTGAATGGGGATGAGAACCAGGAATCCTCTTGGGAGCTTAAAAGCTTCAAGATATCCTAATGAGATGTCCTATGTTAAAAGGTGAACAGAAGTTCTGGGATTCAGACTGGAATGAAAGTATCTGTGTTCCCTTTCTCCTAGGTCAGTGTCCTTACCCCTTTCCCCAGATCTGCCCAGATGTCATCTAGTAACACTAGTTACATCTGGTAACAGTCCTGTCTTCTTGTGTAGTGCGATTCTATTCCTTGAACATGTTGAAAGTAAAGGATCTATCAATGTGAGCTTGTTTGGTCTGTACCCTCCTACAAACACCGACAGTGTTCTTTATCATCTTTGTGTTATTTGTGCTTTATCTTTCTGACTAGACTTCAACTAAAGAACTACAACAATGTTTTCACCAGTTTTAGCATGCAACTTTATTAACATGTAAATGAAGCCTCAAACGAATACACTATGTCAATATAAAGCACAGAAATATAGCTTGCTCAGCATGAATAGGTTCATTATCAGGTCACGTTGCAGAAAGATTAAAAATATCTCAATTTAAATAGCACAGTAAAAATCAACAAACATTCAAGCTCTCAAGATCATTTGGTATGCATAAAGTTGCCTCCATCAACCAACACAAATAACAAATAATGAACTTACAATTATTATATGCATAGCTTCATATTATAACACAAAAAAAAAATGTTCATGGCTCTGTGAGAACATACAGCTATTTAGAGTTTAAGTATTAATCGTATAACTTTATCTCTCACCTCAGGATCACTGTGCTCTACTAAGTCTTGGAGTTTCTGACCAAACTCTTTTGCTTCCTGGAATATGGAAATAAGCTCAGATTTAGTGAACTCTTCTTTGGTAAATAGCTTCACCTTCTTTTTGAATTGGAAATTTATATTCTCAAATATTTCAATGATATTAAGAATATTAGCCTTCGACTCATTCTTGTTAAAGGGTGCAACCAATGATGACAGTACTTTGGCACTAATCAGTTCTCTTGTATTGGCTTGATTTTTAGACAAGCGCAAAAACACTTTTAAAACATAAAACTTGGTTTTGACACTTCCTTTGCTTAACAAGGTGAGGAAATCTGGAATGTAATTAATAATTATATGGTGATCCTCAAATTTCACACTCAGGTGCACTAATAATTTTAGTCCAGCCAGTTGCACAGGGGAGTTCAAGGGATAAGAGAATATGTCCTTACAAACTTGATATACATATGACTCTCCTGGTTTTGGTTCTTCAGAAGACTCAGAGTTGTCATCTACTATATTTAAAGCTCTAGGGTGTTCTATAACATTGGGATTATTGACCAAGTTTTCAATCATAACAGTAATACCTACATCATGAATTATATCTTGGGTAAATGGATAAGCAGGACTAATGCCCATTATCATTGTTGCTATTTCATGAATAAAAGGATCCTTAGTTAACTTAAGTAGGGCAACGAGTTTATCGAACTCTTTAGGCTCTAAACTAAAGTCACGTGATTTACAGCGGCAGGCTCTTGGATTGGGCCCATACTTTTCTCTATACCTAACCTGGCTTTTGATCTCAGCTAAGGTTTGGAAGTAAGGTCCATTATAGGGTGGGATCTTGGTCAGAGGCCGAATCCCCAGAGGAGTTTCAATCAAGGTCTCAACGAGAGTCCAATTCCCTTCTGGAGGCAAGGATGGCTTCCCTCCCTCTATTGGGACTAGGACACTATACCTGGCCCTTGACCATGCTGCTGCTTTTTGTTTTATAGTGAGTTCAGGTTTGGGTATGGGCTTGGGCTTTTCCTGGATCTTAGGTGGAGGCTTATAAACTTGAGAAGGAGTCTCCTCTTCAGGCCAGAACCAGGATCCTACACTAGGCTCTTCTCCTGTCCAGAACCAGGAGCAGACATTTTCTTCATCCTCATCACTGGACTCGATTACAATACCAGCTCTGTCCCCAGCCCCAGCCCTGAATTTGATGCTGTCCTCTCTCGTTCTCTGGGACCTGGACTCAATATTGACCTTATCATCAGCCTTGGCAAAGGACCTGATATTGGTTTCACTTCCAGCACCAGCCTTGACTTCGTACTTGGTCACAGCACTGACCCTGGCCATAGGCATCAGCTTTGACTTGATTTGGGGCACTATACCAGGTTCTGCCAGGGATTTTGCCTTAGTCTCAGTCATGACTCTAGTCTTAGCCATAGCTTCCATCTTGCTCACATCCCTGTCATAGCCACGGCCTCAGTGTAGGTCACTGTCTGTGTCCTGGCCACTGCTCCATCCCCAGACTTGGCCTGGATCTTAGCCTTGGCTCTAGGGTTGGCAGGGCCACTGATTCCAGCTTTTAGGCAAACCTCAGCCCCTCCTCTGCCCCTGCCTTACCCTCAGAGCCAGTCATGATCCAAGTTAAAGACAAGGCCACGTTCTATACCTCCAACCCTGTCTCGGCATTGATTGAAGGTCTGTCCCAGGTTGGTGTTTTCATACAAAGTCCAGTTGTCACTCGGCCCTCTTTCCAACTACAGGCTCTGTCAATGATATAAACAACGTGCAGAAGAAGCTCACTCTGGGAAAGGAAAAATGGCTGTGTGCCTGAGCGCAGCGCTGTGGAGGGTGGGTGTCTTCAGCCACTCCAAGGCCACCAGATCTGCCATTGAAGTTGGACCTAGGGGTGGAGGAAGGAAATGGGGCTTTGAGTCTCTTCCAATTTATTTCTTATGTTGATTAGCACAGAGAGACAGGAGAGTTATGGACATTCAGTGCTAAGTGGGAGAGGTAGATACTTAGCACACTCTGTCCTCATTTCACACTCTCTACAAAACTGAAGGTGCTACTAATCTTGTTTGCAGACACAAAACAGAAGTATGGAGAATGGGTGAGAAAGCTGAATGGGAGTGAGAGAGGCTAAGGAATCCCTAGACTGGCTCTTTATCCCTGCTGGACCCAAGCAGATCTCTACTACTTCATCCTACAGGTCTACTGGGGAAGTCTCCATACTCATACCAAACTTCACTGATCTGGAGAAATTTTCTCCTCCTTTCCTTGCTTCCAATGTTGACAAGACTTACAGCAGACCTACAGGCAGATCGATGGACAAATAAACAAACAAGAGGATATGGAAACTGATCTCTTGCTTAAAAGATCTTGGTCCCTGGTCCCTGTATTTGTAGTTTGTCTAGTATTTGCCTCCTTCTGGTCCCATAATCCCATTGCCCTAATTCAGGACTGACCCTCCTCCTCCCTGTTGCCCACCATTTTCTTGATCAGTGACTGCCCTTCCATTTCTCTCATTCAAAATTGGCCTGGGTGAGTCTTAAGAATAGGAAAAGAAAGTGGGAAATAAGAAAAACAAGCAACTTCCTATACCCCCAAAGCTTTCAAAGACTCCCAACTACATCAGCAGAGGACCAAACAGTGATTACTAAACTGGAGAACAAAAGAGAATAGAATTATCTAGTCTCAATCATCTTCTGTCCCTCTCCCCTCACACCAATCGTAACAGACACAGGGCATGTTTCTCTTCATTATTTTCTAAGTTCAAGTTGGGCTGTGACTTGCAAATCTCCACAACTGAGAGTTCCACAGACCTGGTGATGGTTCTGTACACAGAGATTCACAAATGCAGAGATAAATAAAAGGAAACACAGGAGACAATGGAGACTGGGTCCTTGGAAGATATCAGCACCTGAGATCTGTATCCTTTCTGGATACAGGTACCTGTTTGCCAAAATTTTCTGCACCTCTCCTTCTTCTCCCTCCCTCCAAGTTCCTCTGCTCCATTCCAAAAGTCTGACAATTCCCATGCACAGACAACTCAAATATCCCTGCAAGATAGTGGTAGTGATAGTAGAGATGGAAGGCTCAGACAAGCCATGGAAGTTGTTTGGAAGTCAATGAAAAGTATGATTTCCAAATTTCAGGTAAGCTCTTATGTTTCCTTCCTTTTCCTAAAGCCTATCATTTTCTGCAACACAACAGGAGCAAGGGAGGACTGTCTAGAAAGCATGCAGAAAGGAGATCTGGAGTGTCCCCTAGACTCCTACCTATTCTAGTCTTAGCCATCTACCAACTCCAAGCACTGCCCACCCAGGAGAAATCAGGCCAAGTTTCCTTTTCTTATCCCCTTCCTTTGTGGTCCGCGGGCCTCTACAGATCTTTACACAAACATGCTGTACCAAAAACTTAAGAACAGGCCTACACATATAAACACAGGTTACACCCAAAGACCAAATGAAAAGACAGTCGGAGAGACTTGATTATTAATAATCAGACTAGTAACCAGTACATGAAACGATATTCTAATCTAATCCAGGGTCATGATTATCAAACAGTTACAACTTCTTTTCACACTCTCTCCCTCCCAGGGTTCCCCGAACAACCGTTCTCACCGGCAGCAGCCGCCCCTCCTGCTATCCTATAAATCGCCATTTCTGTCCTAGAAGCCGCTACTATACTCCTTTACTTTCCCAAACACGGGATTAGTGTTTGGAAATCAAGCTAGCAAGAAGCGGATCATTTTAAATTTATAGTTGTGTGCCACTCAAATTACCCCTGACCCCTCCCTCTCACCGCTGGCGCCCTAGACCAGGTCACTTATCCCACGTTCCTCTGATACCCATCTCCACACTCCCAAGTGATTCCCGCCTTCTCACTGACCTGCTTTGCTCGGATCAGAGGGAGTTTTCTTATTTCCTTGCCTCAAGGGGGTGCCGTGATCTACAGAAAGAGGGACGGACAGTCAGATGGATACGAGGACACGAGACAATGGCGGCGACTATGTTTGGGGACTGGCCCGGCACCTGGGATTTAGGACGCGCGATACCTGCTTCGTCAGAGTAAAAGCTGTAATTGGCAAACGATTGTTACTTTTCGGTATATCCCTTCCTCCCGTCCCCAACCCTCCTCTGGGACGCACGCGTAGCGACTTATTAACAGCTACCTTTTCCTCTGCAGACTTTGGCCACGTCCCCAGTACCAAAAGCGGCAGCGGGAGGAGCTAGAGCGTAGTGTAAGGGGATCCGGCTTTATGTAGGCGGAATGATACCAAGCTTTGCATGGCGCCACTTCGCCCTCTGTCTGTGAGCTCCACCCTGGCTATTTCTCCTGGGAAGTGCAGGGGCAGCATCTGGTTATAGAGGAAGCAGCGCTGGACGGAGAGAAGGAAGCCAATATCAAAGGGTCTCGGTATTAGTTCCCCTCTTTCAAGATCTCCCCCACCAGGCCTACATTTTTTTTTTTTTCTTGAACTGAAACGCACGCGACTTTCGGGGGCACTTTGCTCTGGCCTGATCTTGCGGAAGGATATCGGAGTGTTGTGTTTACACATTTCACCTTTCCAAAGTTCTGGGCCCACCTAAATAGGTGGGTTGGGGAGGGGACCAAGATAAAAGAGTCTGGAAAGAAGTTCAAGACTGAGAGAAGGGAGCGCATCCTAATCTGTTCTAAAGCTGTGTCCCCTATGAGAGAAGTCCCTCCAAACTGCCGTTCCAAGCATTTAATTCTGTGCACGAATTGGGCTACTGTGGGATTGGCTTCTAGAAAACTGCTGTGGTCTAACCTGTGATCAATATCAAACACCTTAGGCTTTCATTGCTTCTCTCCCCTAAGTCTCTCATCTTTATTACTTATTATGTTTCTTGCACTGAAATAGTCGAATGTAAGGTGGGGTAAAGATATAGGGAAAACAGTGATGGACGGAGAGAAGCATATTAATACCAAACTACCCCTGTGTGTACCTGTCCCATTCTCAAGCTCTGCCTCCCCTCCTCATGTTCACGATATTTCCTACATCTAAATATGCATGGGCCTGAGCATGGGCAAGAGGAAAACAACTCTGTTCTCATGAAAGAGGATTAATATTCAAGTAACTTTGTACCAATAAATTACCCGTACTGGAGGTTCTAGGGTGGCCTTCCTAAGTTTTTTCATTGTTCATTGGGCCATGGAAAGGAAGAAAGTGGGAGGGGGCTCCCACGGAGGCCTCATCACTGTCTTCTAAAGGAAAGCAGATCTTGACCTCTAATTCAAAGAAATGAACCACTAGTCTGTGCCCAGAGTCATTCTTTCTACCACACTGTTGGTTTTTTGTTCTCATTCGAAATGGTAGCACACTGTGCCATTTCCAGGTCCCCACAGTTGCCCAAGAAAAAAGACTTGTCCCTGTAAGGATCCAGACCGGGTCATGTGCTCCTCCCTATCTGTCACCTCACAGCCAGGTGTCAGGCACTAGGTAGAGCCAGTTCTGGATTCTCTTACATGCTCCTCTCTGAGGAAAAGGGACACTACTCATGCACTTCCCAAGGTAGATCCTAGCTGCTTTCATGACTCCTTTTCTTTTACCACTACATTCTGCCTAATGAATCCATATGCTCTTTCTCCCTGACTATATATATTTCTTTGAATTTCCATTCTGAGCAGTATCAGGAGGGAATTTGAATTAGACTGTAATTCAAATTACATGAATTCAAATCTCCTTTCTCAGTCTTTGTTTCCCCTGTTCTCAGGCTTGTTCACCACTGTATCCTCAGTGCCATACATAGAAGACAAAGTAGTCAGTTAATAGTTGAAGGGGTTGAAGGCCATTGAATCATGAGAATTCCATGGTATCTTCTGTTGGTTGTAGATCAATGGCTGTCTATAAGTGTCTTTGTCTTTGATGTCTGTAACTCCAGGGCTTAGCCCAGAGTTTGCCACACAGGAGATGCTTTATATGTAATTTTTCTATGGAGGAAGAAAGCAAGGGTTTACCAAAATATATTTTAGAAAGAAACCTGGTATCTTCATATCTTATATTGTAATTACATTTGGAAGATACATATAATTTGGATTTGGTATTAGTGGTTTGTTATTCTTTTTTTGTCTTCTATTCATGTTTAGAATTATGCCTTACTAAGCTCCCGAGTATATAGCAAACCCCAATGAATTTATAAAGAAAATATAATGACCAACATCCCGATAGAAAAATAGGCAAATAAATGAACAGACTGTTCATTAAAAAGACAAGTCTATGTTTCTTAAGTATATGAGAAAATATTTCATCTCACTGGTAATCTAAGTGCAAATTATAATTACAGTGATATATTGTTTTTCATCTATCATATTGGCAAAGAACAAAAGATTTGGAAACAAACTGTATTGGAGAAGAGGTGAGAAAACTGGCATTCCTATACATTATTAGTTGGAGTATGAATTGTTACACCCTCTGTGAAGGTTATTTGGCAATGTTTATCAAAATACTAATGTACATAACAATTGACCAGCGATTATACTTTAATAAACTATCCTAAAGTATTATTTGTACATTGAAAAATGCTATATGTATAAGGATATTCACTGCAGAATTGTCTTAATAGTAAAAGATTGGGAATTTTTGAAATAATCATAAATAAGGGAAGGTTAAATAAATTTTAGTGTATCTCCATGCAACATGCAGCTGTTAAAAAGAACGAGCAGCTCTATCTACATATACTGATACAGGAATGATGTCCAAAACACATTTTTAAGTGAAGAAAGCAAGATGCATAACAATGTTTAGTGTGCCATCATTTGTTTAATAATATTTTATTTTATTATATATATGCATATAATGAATATCTCTGTTAATATCAACAAGCAACTGGTAATAGGGCTTGTTTTTTGTTTTGTTTGATTTTTGTTTTTTGTTTTTTTTTTTTTTTTGTTTTTGGTTTTTTGGAGGATAACCTATTGGCAGACAAAGATGTTAAGTACACTTGATGACTTATGTGTATGAACTTCTGTGCTTTTTGAATTTTGAACCTCATGTTTGTATTAACTAAAATTGTAATTTAAATAAAATATTCCTTAGCATCTGAGGATATTTAAAAACTTAAACCACATGTTCTTAGAAATGCTAAACTCCTCAGGCCTACATACCTGGACTCTAAGCTCGGCCACCATGTCGGTAAAAGACAATAAGACAGTCCTTTTTGTTTGTTTAGGAATGTTTCCAATTCTGTAATAGCATTAATGAGGGTAAATGGCTTACCCTCCGGATTTGAAGGACAAGCTTGTTCCAAGAATCCTTTATCTACACACTTCTCCTGTGCAATTCAGAATCTAGTTTACTAAGTCCATAATAAATGATGTTCTAGTACTAATACTACTACTAAAGATAATGCTTTCCATTTAGAAGATTGTGTTTGAATCCTTACAGAAATGTGATGTGAAACAGCACTCTTGATACTCATAAAACACCCAAGGAGTAGAAAGGGTAGCTATTGAAAATAATGATTATGGGAGCTATGCTTTATATTTCATAGGCATCTTTATTGTTTTGGAGAGGTTCCAGATTTGGGCCCTTTCATTGGAGGAAACAGAGAACAGTGAGATAATAGTTCTCATGATCATACTTTTAATTGAATTCATACGTTGCTTTAGAAATGTCCCATATTCTGAAAATGATTTAGTTTCTTTTCTATTGCATCATTTTCTATTGAAATTTCCAGGAATGTCTGTTTTACACATGCTTTAACTTATTTTTTATTACCTAAGTTATATATGTTCACAGTTGAAAACCTAGTAATTATATGAAAATTAAAAGAAAAAGATATTGCATTTCCTAACACTGATAAATACTCCTAACATTTTAGTATATATCCTTCCAGACTTTTAGAAATGCAAATATGTGTATATATATTTACACACTGCCCCCCAACACACACACATCTTAAAAAAAAAAAGATTTCATTATACTTATTTCATTGTAATAAATTATCTTTCCAGCAACATAAAACATTCTGTTATTTCTCCCATTTTAAAAACATACTATCTTGAGACCTCTCTTTCCCCAACACTTGTGCCTCCACTATTTCTTGCTTCAAAGATTTTTCTACTTATTTATAGTATTATTTCAATTTTCTTTCTTGAAATTATGTTTAGGAAAATTTTAATGACATAAGGAAAATTCTTGTGAAATGATGCCAAGTGAAAATATATATATATTCTCTAAAACAATTTCATCCAGAATATAAATTATAAAAAGAAATAATATGTGCAAAGAAAAGCAAAAATCAGCAGTAGTGATTGTATTTATGGTTTGGACTATGTGAGATTTCTCACCATAATTTTATGTCCTTCTGTATTTCCCACATTTCTACAATAAGTATGTTATATTCATGTAAAAGTCAGTATTATTTTTTTAAAGGACCCCACTGTGGATTTTTTTTAAATTGTGGAAAAATACAGACAACATAACATTTAACATTTTAATCATTTTAAAGTATACAATTCAGTGGCATTAAGTACATCCAAAATGTTGTACAACCATCATCATTATCTAGATTCAGAAATTATTCAGAAACCTCATGCCACTAATCACTCACTACCATTCCTCCCCCACCCAGCTTCTGGCAACCACTAATCTGCTTTCTGTTGCTGTGGCTCACCTATTCTGGATATTTCATATAAATGACTTTTTTTCATTTTCCAAAATGTTTTCAAGGTTAATCCATGTTTTAGCTATTTTTTATTGTGGAGAATGTCCTATAACATAAAATTCACCTTTTTAACAATTTTAAAGTGCACAATTGGTTGCATATAGTACAATAAAGTTTTGTACAATCATCACCACTATCTAGTTCCAGAACGTTTTCATCACTCCAAAAGCAGACCCCATATCTATTAAGCAGTCATGCCCCCATTTCCCCCTTTTCCTAGCCCCTGGAAAACACTAAATATACTTTCTATATCTATGGATTATTCTGGATATTTTATATAAATGGAATCATACAATATGTGGTCCTTTGTGACTTACTTCATTTAGAGTAACTTTTTCACAGTTCATTCATGTTGTAGCATGTACCAATACTTCATTTTGCATGGCTAAATAATATTCCACTGCAGGTATATACCATGTTTTGTTTATCCATTTATCTGTGAATGTGCATTTGGGTTGTTTCCTCCTTTTCACTATTGTGAATAAAGCTGCAGTGAACATTGTTGTATAAATATCTGTTTGAGTCTGTGCTTTCAGTTCTTTGGGACATATACATAGAAACAGAATTG